AGATATATTATATCTAAATAAATAGATGTTATATGTTTTTATCAAAGCAAGAATTGGCATTTAGAGGACATATGGAATATATTGGATCTAATAACAGAGATAATTATATTGAACTTGTTTATTCATTAAGTACGTCAGATAAATAATCTATTAAAAATACATTTAAAGAAAGAATTAACTGATTGCCCTGGAAGTTGGCTTTTTATAGAAACACAGCTTCCCTATCATCAAATGTCACGGCACGCCACTGTGATCTGTTATTCGATTTCAGCATGAAAGATCATGGTAACTGTCTTTTGGGACAGGAAAGGGATTTTGTTAGTGGATTTTATGCCAAGAGGCACAACAATCAATTCTGATGCTTATTGTGTGATCTTAGAAAACTCCACTGTGCCATACAAGACAAGCGGCGTGGCCTAATGTTTCTTAATGGGCGGCAGATTTCTTTGAAGTCGGAATTTTAAAAATTTTTGAGTGGTATGACAAATGTTTGAACAAAAATGGAAATTATGTAGAAAAGTAGATAAAAGTATGTAGAATATGGGAAAAAATATATTTTAATGATATTTGCAGTATTTTTTTTTTTTTTATTAAAAAATGGACCTTATTTAAAAAATAGCCCTCATATTATTATATATGAAGCATGCAATGCCATAATGTAAATGCCATTTGTTTCTAAATATGATTTATTGAAGAGTTGAATTCTAAATGCAATGTTTTCTGCCACAAAAGAATGTTGTGGCAATATTGGCAGTGTAAGTAGTTGTATTTTGAAGATTAATTTATATGAAAAATAGGTTAAAGTCCAGTTATGTGGACTGTCATGGCGGCACTTCCTGTTTTCTGACTGCCAACCTCAACACCGGAACTGTTTGGAGACGAGAGATGTCACGTGATGATGCGAGCAAGCGGCGGCGGAGCCGCCGTGATAAACGGAGAAAACTGACATGCGGGTTAACGTCCATATACGTAGACTGTCATGGCGGCTCATCTCTGATTCCGGCAAAGAAAAGGAAACAGTGGGGACGCACATTCTAACCTAACCTAACCTATTCTAATAAATTACCACAATTATTACCAATTAAATTATTAGAATAGGTTAGATTAGGTTAGAACGTGCGTCCCTACCGCCGCCGCCGTTCGCTCGCGTCGTCACGTGACATCTCTCGTCTCCAAACCGCTCTGGTGTCGAGGCTGGCAGTTGGAAAACAGGAAGTGCTTCCATGACAGTCCACATAACTGGACTTTAACCGAAAAATATAACATTTAAAGTGCTAGAGTGCAAGTCACATGACTTTTGGCACAAAACGTTGCAGCTTATATTTACATCATTTTGATATTCCAGAGAATTTGTAACCCAGTGAATTTTTTTACCATTTTATTATAAAATTGAAATGAATTCATTCATTAGAAAAAATGTTTTTTTACCTCTCCTGAAAGTTTCTTTTTTGGCATTTACAACATATGGCATTGCAAACTTCATATAATGTAATATTATCTATATCTATATTTATATCCATTTTATATATATATTAAAAACAAAATATTTTGTCATTGTAAACTGAAATCGAAAACACTTTACAAAGTACTATAATCAGAGACTCAACTCCAACTTCCTGGATGAAATATAAGCAAATGAATTGAGATAGACAACAAATACTTTATCCACACTTTCCAAAATGTTACGTTTCAATTGCTTTGATTTAAATTAAAATTAATTAATTAATTGTTTGATTGATTTTATTTTTAATTTTAGTTTTGGTGTAAAAATAAGAGTTTTAATTATTATTTTTAATTTTAATTAACTGGCTACCTAGTATTAATAAATATTATATTAAATGTTAATATTATAATATATGATATAATAATAAATTTTTGTTATTTAATTTGAGTTAAGTATCTTTAAATATGAATTATTGAATGTCATTTATTTTATGTGAATGTAAATTAATATAGTTTTTATTAATCAATTTGATTTAAATTGAATTGTGGTGTGTACCAAAAACCAGAAATCATATCTTACCCACATATGCATTGAAATATAATTTGAATAACAACATCATTGATGGTTCATGTTGTGATGTCTAATGATGTATGAGGTGAATTTTAGTGTCACTACTGAATTGGTAGTCCTGTTGTTGATTGGTTAAGTCATTGACTTTCTTTAATGTAGGAAGTATAGGTAGTTGATCATTGGTGGTCGGCTCTACTGAGTAGCTTGTTCAGAAACCTAGTTAATGTACATAAACTGGAGTAAATATGGTGTTCAAAATTTTGTTCATAAACTAAATTGTTCATAAACAGGGGCATTCGTAACTCGAGGTTTCACTGTATTAGCATAAATTGAAAATTCCTTAGTCAGATAATTTCAACAATTTACATGAATATTTCATTTAATTTAATACTGTTTTAANTTGTTGGTTGGAAAATATATGCAAATTTCTTAAAAATTACCAATTCTTTTCATCGAAAGACTCATTCTATTTCTTTCTATCAAAAGCTCGCAATGGCTTAGGCTACGTTACGCACTTTCCCCAATAGTAACTCAATCGTGTGTAGTAGTGAATGCATCACCATCAGTCTAGCCTTTACGAGTCGCACCACACTCATTTATTACCGGTACTGTAACACAGCAATTCAATTGATAGACGTCAATTTTGGATTCAAATAATCTGCAGGGAGCGTGATAGAGTCATTACCACAGAGAATTCGGGGGAGGAACACCACAAGACCCCGCGGCCATCTTTATATTTGCTGACTACTATGATACAGCAGTGCGAAAAATTAAAGAACCAATACATCTTGATGAGTGTATGAAATGAAATTCTGACTTAGATGTATATCTTTATTCACATCTCGAAATAAAAATATCCACATTCTTTTTTTACATTTGCAGATTGACACCGGGCAACACTCCACACCATCCTTCTAGTGGGGTTCTAATTAAAAATGGTAAGTATTAATGCTATTTTTGGAGATTTTCCCCTGTTTCTTTCCATGTTCGATGCATTAAGCTTATCTCCTATTCGATTATTCAAAAAATTTTACGACAAATTCACTAAATAGCCTTAGGTGTTAGGGGGTGACCGCAAAGTATGTGCGCGACTTTCTTCCATTTTTCCTGTACTAAATACATTTCGAGTTCACTCGAAAAGGTGGGGGGAAAGAAGGAAATTTTTTCCATCTTTTCTAGATGTTTAGATCATATTTTTAGTAGGAGTAGTAGTATTAGTATTAGATGAAAGCAGCACTAGGGATAAACATACTTGGAGACCGAGTATAACCCCGCACGCGTGTGTATATGCGTGTGTGGTTTTCATGCTTTTAAATAAGCCGCCTTATCAAGATCATATTGCCAAAGAAAATAAACAGTGTTTCCTTACGAAAGACGGTGTTTATATTGCATAACAGGACGGTTGGGTTAACAAAGCGGTATATAGAAGAGGAGAGAGTGAGTGAGAGGAGGTTGGGTATTATAGAAATGCGCGCTCAACACCTGCTATTTTCAACAGCTCCCCATTATGGACTGTTAATACACGAGCTATGTAAGCCCAGCAAACTAATTACATCCTTTCCGAGCAGATGGCGCTTTTTAAATTGTCAAATGATTTACAAATCGAAGCAACACACCTCTGGGACTCTTGTTTATACTGTCGAGTTATCTTCGACTTCATCAATTGCGTGTAAATTTATGTAACCAGTTAAGTTAAGCAGTCCAATAGTTTGCTTTCATTCATTTTTATATACTTATTCTGATACGGGCGAATTTAATCAGCCTAATTTAGGCCCTTGTACGCTTTCCAGCGGGCTATTGTATTTAAACAATGCCTTTTCTGTATGTCAGCTACTTCCAATGTATTTATTAAATATTTAAATTGATCAGACAATCTCAAGATGAAGATATAGAAATTGAACTTCCTGAAGCAGATGGAGAATTGCAAATAATTACAGAATGTTGGGTTGAACCACAAAATGGCATTGCTATACCTAATTCACCTGGTGTTAACCATTTAAATGGATTAACTTATGAACAGTTTCCTCAGTCTGTGAGTAATAAAATTTAAATCATAATATTAAAATGTTACATTTTCAATTTTAAATATATTTTATGAAAAACACAAATAATAATTGACAAAAATGTAAAATATAACAGAATATTTAAAAATTTTTTACATTTGTTCATTTAATATTAAATATTTTGTCTATTTTTTGAATATTGGTGAAGTATATCACTTTATAGGTAAACTGAACTTTGCCCCCATTTAGTAAACCGTTCTTTGATTATCTCTGCCTACCTAACTTTATGATATAAGTGCAATCCAAAATTAGTTGGAGGGGGGAAAACATTACATTTTAATTTTTTTGCTTAAATATAAATGGAAATGAAAATCCATTATATTAAATTTGTATATTATAGGAGAGATGTAATAATTAAAAAGTTATATATTTATAAAAATTTGTAACTCTATAACAAAACTGTTGTTGTACATTCTCACATTGATTGCATCGTAACCTCACGCTGAAAATGGAGTTGTCCAGTTGATGGGAGTGTGTGTGTACACACACATATATATATTCAACCCACCTGTTGTCATTACAGATATGGAAGATTACAAGCTATAAGTGTAGTGTAAAAGGAGAAGATAATTTTATTGAAGCTTCACATTATACCTGTGAGCAAAAATATTTGGAACTATATGGTGTTAATTCAGAATTGAAATTTATGAAGTAATGACTTATTCTGTTTTATGAAGGATTGCACCTGTTTGAGTTGGAAGTGGAGATCTTGACATTTTATGTAGTGCAAATTGTGCCAGATCTAACTCTTCCAGCTCATATAGAGGCAAAATGTCTTCAATGTGAGAAGTGCAGCAACTTTTAGTTTAATATTTTTATTTTTAAAATATTAAGCTTATTATTAATTATTTAATTTATTAAAAAGTAGTTTTCAGTTTTAATGTAAGCTAATATAATTATTGAATAGAATGTTAAGATTATACCGAAAAATATAACATTTAAA